CTGCCTTCATTCCTCCCTGGCTCTCCTTTCTCTACCAGTCAAATCTCAGATTCTTCACTTGCTTACATTTACTCACATGCACTGGACAGAGTAGCACTGTGCATTACCGAAAATTAGACACTCGAGGCTTGACTATTGGGAAGTTAAAATCCACGTACAGTCTTAATCATAAAGTAGAAAACTCTGAATTTCAACTCTAGAGATTTTTTTAGTGGACATTTAACTTTAGATAAAAGAATATGCTTTTTTTTCCCTCTTTCTGAGTTGTGTCAGGTCATATTGCATCAAACTTTTTATACCCTTGTAATGATAAAAATATAAATAAAGGAAAGTTGATTCATATGTACCAAGCCAAAAAAATAAAAGTAGAACAAAATAAAGTTACTGCTAATTTTACTATTCCATGTTCCATTCCACTATATTTTGCCTTCTTTTCTTGGAAATGTAGGTGCCACTCTTTTACTTAAGTTCTTTCTTTGGTATAAATTATACAGTGCTATAGTAACTTGAGCCTTCCTCTGCATTAAGGAAGGTGAAACTTTAATCAGTCTGAAAAAGAGAATTATGTATACAGTAAAACTCTCTAAAGATTTACACTCACAACTTTCTACAGGGTTTATAATTTTAGAGACTTTTAACAGTTTCTTCTACTTTGGCTAATCCATTAGTTGCTAATAATAATACTATTTACTAAATATCTGTGATAAATATTAGGTAGATGATTTCTCTTATAGTTCATATTCTTATTGTTGTGCTACTATCCTTGCCTTTTCTTCTGAAATTGCATTTTTGCAATATGTTGATGAATGATTTTGTATCTTGAGTTTTAATTTTTTTCTTTATGATACCCCTCCACTTCTAAATTTACATGTTTGCAAATGTATGTGTTATTTATGAGATTTGCTGATAGTATTCAAGGTTTATATTTGTTTTATATGCATTTATTTATTTTTAGTCTTAGTTATGCAGTCTGTATATGAGAGTTTACATATAACAGAGATGTAATTAATGACAAAGAAAGATTGAAGAGTTTTAAAAATTCTGACAATAGATGAGAGCTTCTCTGCAGCAAGAGATATTTTCTTATTGTGAGGTAAAGAACAGGCATCACAAAGAAACTCAGAAAAGCTACTGTGTGACATCTGATAAAGAATAAATATGAATACAAATAAATGTCAATAGATTAATTTCTAATCTCCTCTGAGAGCATAGTATAAGTTTCTCTATGAACTAAGTGGGGTCAATTAAATGGCTATAACCTTTTTCCAGCATTATTTATGAATCTGAAGGAAGAATTTTTATACAATGGATGGTTGTGTTTATGCAGAATTTAAAGATTATCAAGAAGGAGTGTGGCAGATGGTCAGCAGGATGACATTCCAGGGTGCAAATCAGAACGTAATGACATATTGGATCATGCATTTGTGGTTTGGCAGACAGACAAGTGAGGCCACAAGGATGTTTACAAACTCAAATGAACAGGCAGATTCCAGAGTCTGAAAATTGAGCTTAGGGTCATTCTCAGATTGACAGAGAGGAAGTCAGGCAAAACAAGAGAAAGAATAAGCACATAGCAAAGAACATACTGAGCTCCTGCTGCTGAAGTGCTGCGAGTTATGTTTAGCTCATTTTGGTTTTAATTTCTTAACACACGCCAATGTAATAAGAAACTGTAACAGAAGAGAAGTTCCTGCTGATTGTCCCTCAAATTACTATTTATCAAGCAATGATCATATAAAAGGAATTTTGCTGGAAACCACAACAGCATTATTTCATGGGTTCTAATAATGTTTAAATTATAAATTGTTCATATTGTTGCCAAAGGGTTAGAGAAAAATGAAACTAAAATATGATCTCCAGTTTTTTGCCCATCTGAAATTCTCCATAATTTGCCACCTAAAATATATATATTTTTGTATATTCTTATTTAGATTAAGATATTCGGTTTTATCATTCCAATTGTCCTTGAATGCTAGTTCAATACATTAACTGGACTGGCTTTGCAAATAAGTATTCTAAAACACTCTCTCTTCATCCAAGCCATTGAGGATTCAAACAAAGAACCAAGTCTGGATGCACATTATTAGCAATTGCTTATTATTGAAAATTAATACACAGCACTTCCCATCCACACATGTTCTATCCTTCAATGTTTTCCCTTTATTAATCTTACATTAATGATTTTTTAACTTGACTATCTCTTAAGACTTTATATAATATTTTTAAGTATATTTGAAATTTTAGAGATTTCTTATTGCTCTTGTAGCCTAAGTTTCATTTTCACCAAGACATACTTTTCTATTTTGATATGTACACATACACATGATATATCTCAATAAATATAATCTACATACCCAGACATGACATAAACCTTTACATGGACATGATTTATATGCTCACACATGATAGGGGACTCCATATTAATATGATCCATGTATAAACACGATATAGACTTCCAGTTGGATTTGATCTATAAATGTATATATGATATATATGTATACATGAATATAAACCTATAAATGCATGCATTTATGTATGTGTTTTTCTTACCACTTTCATGTTCTTCCTCATGTTCAAAGATTTCTTATTCAAGTTCTTGAGACTTCTGCCAAGCACATTTTTTTGCAGTTCCATTGAAGTACAGACTGTTCCTTGTCAAGAGCTCATTATCTGTTGAGGCCTTTCTAGGTGGGAAGTTCTTTGCTTCCTAAATCCTCTCTTCTTTTCAAAAACTAAACACTCAACTGCAAAAAAAAAAAAAAAAAATGGAAAAAAAATGTCTCCATGTCATAGGGTTTTATATTTAGCAGCTAAAAGTGCACTTCCAAAGGCATATTCTGGTTTTCTTGTGGTTGGAATCACATTTGTGGCTGCATTTTCAACAATTATCCACTTTAATAATGTAAACTGTCCCCTAGGCTGGAGCCATAAGATATTCCATATCTACCAGAATGACTGTTACCATGTTAATCTACATGTCATTATTTATGTCGCTCAAATCCAGTAACAAGTGTCTTGCCCCTCTCCTAAGAATAGTTGTGTAATTCTCAAACATATTTGTGCACATAAACATTTAGCTCAAACATATTCTTTTGATTAAGGAATTGAAATAGAGACAACTTTATGTTAATCGTAACAAAGCATCCAACTGGGAGATCTGATTTTTATGAAAGATCAGGTTTCCTGTGGAATAACCCATGATTGCTATGGTGCATACAAATAATGTATACACATATACATCTCATCCTCTTCTTTTTCTATTCTGTGACCTGCTTCAGAATACACATTTGATACAGTTTTTAAATTCTTCTTTCACCAGATAAAAAAATCCTTTTCAATTTCTCATTGAACTATTTACTTTTCCTATACATCTTCAGTGACATAATTATATATATATATATATATATATGTGTGTGTGTGTGTGTGTGTGTGTGTGTGTGTGTGTATTTATATGTATATTTTTCTGTTTCATTCTCTATATTATATTGAATATTTATAAATTAATTATATTTTTATTGCATTTACTTAGAACATTCTATCAAGAAAATATTATATGGTATAGTATTATAACTATCAAATTACCTATATTAAAAAAAATTCTAATTTTCATAATAAAAATCATTGACTTGAGAAAGAGAACCCCTACATATAAATGTCCAATGGTGCACTCACATTTTTAGTGCAAAATAATTAACTCGGGTATAATCACAGGCTGAGTTTTGCTAAGTTGCTTAGAACCTTTCTAAATTGCTGAGTTTGACCTCAAAGTTTCAATCCTCCTGCTTTAGCCTCTCACATTGCTGGGATTACACATTTGTACCACAATGCCTGTCTAAGATTCTGTGCAGTTTTAATGCTTCTCAATGGGTGACCCAATGACAAAGCTCTTAAGCTAAACTTATCTTTCAGCATATCAGCATTTGGTGGTAAATGTTCTGAATATTCTAACCTTTCATGAGGAAGTCACTGAAAGTTGTGACCTATGGTCAGGTGATAGTTTATAGGTAGAGCAATAAGTCTTTCCCAGAAGGGTATCTGAACAGAATATCCAAGTGTGTACCGTGGGATCTTTTCACTCATAGACATTCTGGGAAGAGAAATAACAGTGGTAAAACATTATATGATATATACACTTCAGTACATCAATATTAATTGGTGACAAATTGACCAAGATGTGACACTACAATTTTGATCAGGATTCTAGAATGTATCAAAGTGTGTCCTGTGTGGTTTGATATAAATTATACTCTATGACTTTGTCCATTTATTTTAAACTACTTATTTATAATACAAATTATTTTATCCAATACAATAAAGATTTTAGCAACCACTTTCATATGATGTTATATGGATTGATCAATATGTATCATGCCCACATTTCTTATAGTACATAACATTTAAAAATCACATACAATAGAACTATTTGGTCACCTTTAACTTCCATGTGGTGTATTCACTCTGACAAAAGTGCATCATATTATAGTTAAGTTTTTAACTTTATCAATCTATGTGGTGTTTTCAGAGAAATATCATCTGTATCAGTGGTTCTTAAACCTTTTTAATGTATTGAAATCTCCTGAATAGTTTGCTGAAGTACAGATATCTGTCGCTGTCAATTGAAGTAAGAGTCTAGGTTTGGGATGATCCTCCTAGTTCACAACAAAGACTAGGATCCATTTGCTTCAGTCCATTTCTATGCCTTAAGTATTTTAGCTGCTAAGTAAGTCCATATTCAAAATGGCTTTGTCTCTTCCCTCTGTTGTCCTCCCATGACTTCACCAATCCCTCAGTTTGGCTCTATTAACTATTCAAATAATTTTCTCAATTGAACTATCAATTTTAGCTATTCCTTCCTTAAAAATTTCCCCTTCATGTTCCCTTGGCCATTTTGTAAATTAAAAAAAAAAAATCACACATATCCGTTTTATCCATTAAAGGAAATGTGAATCTTTAATGGCAGCTTCACTAAGTATATTTTGTTTTGCTTATGTCTATCATAGATAACACAGCCAGCATTCTGACAAGGCGGAGGAGATTTAGTCGAACTATTCAGGATGTGTATTATCTACCCATTATGATCTCTGATGGTGGAATCCCCTCTCTCAGCAGCAGCAGCACCCTCACCATCAGGGTTTGTGCATGCGAGAGAGATGGGCGCGTGCGGACCTGTCATGCAGAAGCCTTCCTGTCCTCGGCTGGTTTGAGTACAGGAGCCCTAATCGCTATCCTTCTCTGTGTTGTCATTCTCCTGGGTAAGTCATTCTACAGCCTAAGGTGGTACAATGGCAGTTCTGAATGGGAGTAAATTGTATTCTTGAAATATAAGGATTACAAAGGCATAAAAGGGGGTAATAAAACATGGCCGCACATATTCTATTAAATTAAATTTTACAAATCTGTAATCTGGAACTAATTTGATTCAAAACTTGGGAAAGAGTTGGAATATCAGCAACATATGAAATCTAAGAGAAAAAGTTTTGAAAGCATGTATTTTAGAAAAATTAATAGTAAGATATTCTAAATCCCATTTGGAAAGAACTCTTCAATTAATTTCTGGGAACGGAAAGACATCATTTTAATATGTCTAGGACCCACCCTGCTTGGCTCAGCCAAGGTCAGCCCACTTGAGTCTTATAGCCATACTATAAATAAGCACAGAAATTTAATATACAGTATGAGGACTAGAGTTAATAATAACATGGTTTTATATCGATAAAAAACGTCAAAAAAGTAGATTTTAAGTTGTTTTAGCACACACACATGAAAAGGGGGTAAATGTGAGATGAAGAATATGTTAATTTGCTTGATAATAGTTATCATGTCACTGGATAGTTATATATTCAAATATCATGTTTACATTACAGACATATACAATAAAGTAAATCTGATAACCAAATAAGGATATAAAAGTCTTATAGAAATTTCTGTAATTCCCAAATATCAGTTAATCATCAATGTTAGCTGAGTTTAACATATTCATTCTAAGTCACTGTAACCTGAAATATATATTTTATTAAATTCAATTCAATTATATTAAATACTGTAAGATTTTCTCGAATCTGAGATTTGCATTGCATTTTACTTTATTAAAAAATCCAGTTTTATATTATCTCTTGTTATATTCTAATGGATATTAGATGTGTATTCTAAACCTCATTACATCTATGTTTCAAACTGATATTATCTCAAACTTTTAGATTTTATTTAAGACAGACACAATATAAAGAGAGAAAGAAAAAAAAAGATAGTACACCCAGATTTTGTAACAATAAAGGTAGATATAAGCCGTTTTTTCTACATAGTTTAGAGTGCATATGTGTTTGTCTTCCAGTGTGTCCCCACTTCCTCCTTTCCATTAGAGATGTATTTGTGACCTTTCTTGGTAGCGTGCGCGTGTGAAAAAAAAAAAGCACTGTATGTTTTGGTGAGACTAGGGTATTCCCATAAAGAATATTCCAGGTTTTGTTCCTGGGAGGAAGATAACCTGCTTGCATAGATGGTGAAGAGAGTAAGTTGGAATGAGCCTGAAGAGGAGAAGGAACATAAGGAGCACGTGTGAGAAAATGTAATGCTGTTGTGAATCTAAAAAAAATGGGGGTTTGCTGCAGGTGTGTAGACTGGATTAAAACAGGAGAGTCTCATTGTAAACTTGACAAGTGGAAAAGATCACAGTGACTGAATTGAAGAAAAAAATCTCATGGTGCTAAGAGAATAACAGGGGAGTAGCCTTCTTCTGACATGGAATGAATTGGATCAGCACATTTTTAGTTAAGTTGAAGAAAAGTGAATAATATCAAAATATGATAAATACCTTTGATAACTTAGATGTCTGAGTAAGTTGGAACAGTATCAAACAGGGCTATTTGTCTATTCATCTCTTGCTGAGTGTACACCTTGATTCTCCCTTAGTTATGCAGTGGATTAATCCATTTTGCTTAAATTACATAGCAAAAATTTTAAAAAAATACAGAGAGGAAAGAGTAGAACTGAGCTGTGTGAAACTTCAAAGTGATTGCCATGTCAGGAGGGATGAGATAAGAGAGGACAGCAAAGAAATCAGAAAGATAGAAATTTAGTCAAGTACAGTGTCACAGATGTACATGGGAAAGAGTGTTTATGGGAATAGAGCACTGTGTTACACATTGAATCTATTCAATGTCAAAAACTGCTCACAAGTTCAACAATTTGTACCCAAAAATTATTGTTTGCACTTAGCAACCAGAAACATGAATAATTGGTGCAACACCATAACAAGAGCTGTTTCACTGCAGTAGGATCTTTTACAGTTGTTAAGTCAGCTTCCCTTTCTATGAAACAGTGTCTGATAAGAACCACTTAAAGGATGAAGAGTATATTTTGGATCCTAGTTTCAAAGATGTAGTGCTTAGTCAGCCAAATCCATTGCTCTGTGTCTAAGGTGGAGAAAAGCATAATGATGGAAGACTATGGCCAACAAAAGTGGCTCAGTTTAAGCCACTGGGAAAGCAGAGAGAGAACAAGGAATCAGTGATATCAGTGACCTATTTCTTCAAGCCATACCCTGCCTGCTTATAATTATCACTGAGTACAGTAATACTTTCAAGTTATTAAAAGATGAAATGGATTAATCCAATGCTTAACTGACAGCTCTCATAAACTAATCATTTCACCTCTGGTTGGTACCTCACTGTCTTTCATGCCTTTGGGGACAACTCATATTCAAATCATAATATATAGTAAATGCATGGTACATAAAGAAAAGAGGGAAGTCAGGCTTTAAAAATTTATTTATTAGTCATAACTGCTATTTTACTTATGTATTTTGTTTTTCTCCATAAAATTAAAAAAAACAAAACAAAACAAAACAAAACACAAACACACACACAAAACACATCCAAAACAGAAAATAAAGTCATACAGCAGCAACAGAACACTGGATCCCCTTAGAGTTCTTAACTGAAGTCACAGAGAATAAAAGTTTATGATTTTAATATAAATTATTTTAAAAAATATTTTTCTTTGTTATTTTTAGTTATACATGACAGTAGAATATATTTTTACATATACTACATACATGGAGTATAACTTCCAATTTTTGTGGTTATACATGATGGGGAGACACACTGGTAAAAATTTTTAATTTTGAATGATAGGTCATTTGTGATCTTCAATTTTGTTTTCATTTATAATCATACAACTATTACCATTAAATATGACAAATAATTAAATGTATTGAAAAATTCAATATACAGTTTTAAATTGTGTTATACTAATAATATTTTAATAATTCATAAGAATAATACTCATTTAATTAACATTTATAAAAAATATATTTTAGCTTGTAAGGATAATTATTAGAACATTTGTACATTTTATATTCTCTGTCAAGAATAATAAAACAAATTTTCTATTTGGTATGTTTGATAGTTTTATATCAATACTCAAATATGTTTTATGCTTTTATCTAAATATTTTATAATTCTTTCCAAAGTTAAGGTTTAATCAATTTTTAATGACAAAGTAATTTTTATTGCTAATGACATTGTAAGGTTTTATTGTTTTCAGAAAATATCTGGACAACAGACACAGAATGTAATTAGAATGTAATGTATTAGACTTCATGGAAAATATATGCAATAACAAAACTAGCAAGACATTACAACCTGAAATTCTAAAATAACATCCCACTCTAATGGCTAGACCAATTATGAAATTAAAATTTTAAAATTGAAAACATTTTAATTATCAGTTTCAGTTCATAAGTTTGGCATTGGTTTTACTTATAATTACCTGATTTGGGGTGACCCATTTCAGATCCTCTTGTTTGTAATACTGAACCTGTGGATATGAGGTTTCTGATAAAAGAATCATGTAAACTCAGCTGTTAAATATTTCTATGCTTATTTTTTATTACAGGTCACATGTGATTTTGCAATTTAAATATGATCAAATTTTATGCAAAAAATCTATTGCGTATCTGAAAATGGTGCTTGAAAACCAAAAGCCTGACTTTAAACCGTACATGTACATTTTGTGAGAACTGTTATTTACTGTTGAGAGCACTTTTTATAGACCCTTTTAATCAGAAGAATGGCAGAGAATGTGGAGTGGAACTTCATGATGTATTTGGAGCTTGTTGTTGAATAGCAGAAACTGCATCCCACAGGTTTTTTTTTAATTTTTTTTTTTGAGAGAGAGATTTTTAGTATTTATTTTTTAGTTTTCGATGGACACAACATATTTATTTTATTTTTATGTGGTACTGAGGATCGAACCCAGCACCTCGTGCATGCCAGGGGAGCACGTTACCACTTGAACCACATCCCCAGCCCCACAGTTTTTATTTCTTCTTTTTAGTTATACATGACAGTAGAATATGTTTTGACATATTCATACAAACATGGAGTATATCTTATTCTAATTAGAACCCCAGTCTTGCAGAAGTACGTGTTGTATTCATATATATACAAAAGAAAGTTTATGTCAGATTAGTTCTACTGTCTTTCCTATTCCTATATCCCCTCCTTTCCTTTCGAATCTTCCTTTGTCTAATCAACTGAACATCTTTTTTCCCCATCTCTGCAACCTTGCTGTGCCTTAATATCTACATATCAGTGGTATTTCTGACCTTTGGTGTTTGGGGATTGGTTTATTTCACTTAGTATGACAGTCTCCAGGTCCATCCATGTAATGGCAAATGTCATAAGTTCAATCTATATGGCTGAGTAGCATTCCATTGTGTGTATACATCACATTTTCTTTATCCATTCATCTATTGAAGGGCACCTAGGTTGGTTCCATGGGTTGGCTATTGCAAATTGTACTGCTGTAAGCATTGATGTGGCTGCATGACTGTAATATGCTGGTTTTAACTCCTTTGGATAAGAGAAGTGGCCTAAGTGGGTAAAATGGTGGTTCTTTTCCTAGGCTTTGAAGAACCTCCGTAATGCTTTCCACAGTAGTTACATGGATTTGTAGTCCCACCTGCAATGTGTGAGTGTAACGTTTTCCCCACATCCTTCACAATATTTATTCTTGATTCTTGCCACTCTGACTAGAGTGAGGGGAAATAGTGTAGTTTTATTTTTTATTTCTCTAATTACTAGAGATATTGAATATCTTTATAATGTATTTGTTTATAGTTTGTATTTCTTCTTTTGAGAAGTGTGTGTTTAGTTTCTATTCCCATTTATTGATTGGGTTGATTATTTGGTGTTAACTTTTTTAGTTCTTCTGAGGAGCAGGTGGCAAAGATTTTCTCCCATTCTGTAGACTCTCTATTCATGTTCTTGATTGTTTCCTTTGCTGTGAATATGCTTGTTAGTTTGATACCATCCATTTATTGACTTTTGATTTTTCTTCTTGCACTTTAGGAATCTTGTTGAGGAAGTCAGTTCCCAACCCATCAAGTTGAAGTGTTGGGCCTACTTTTTCTTCTAATAGGTGCAGGATCTCTGGTCTGATATTTAGGTCTTTGACTCACTTTGTGTTGAGTTTTATTCAGGGTGATTGATATGGGATCAATTTCATTCTGCTACATAAGAATTTTCAGTTTTCCCAGCACTGTTTGTTGAAGAAGTTAACTTTTCTCCAGTGTATGTTTTTGGCTCCTATGTCTAGTATGAGTGGTACTTTGTATAAAATGCATGATTATTAAATTGGGGAGAGATTAAATTGGGGAGGGGTTATTTTAATATTTTCATTTGAGTTCCAGATTTTTAAAATAAGAATATGATTGTCAAATCTCCCTATGGAATTATTTTCTGCACTTATCATCTTAAAATATACTTTGGTATTATGATTTTTTGAAACATAATTTAGTTCAAACTATTCATAAGTAATTAGGAGTCTATTGTTCTTAATAGCCATGAGCTGATTTTTAAAAAAATATTTAAAATAATTTCCCACTAAGGCTACTACTACTCATGAAGGTTCATTAAAACCACATTAAAGCCTTCACAAAGATTATTCTTTTGCCCATCTACATAAGAATTGTCTGTAGAGTATTTGCATTGTGCCAACTGCCACAAATATCTGCTAAAAACAAGTGGGAGAAGTGCATCAGGAGCACACATGTGTACTGGGTTTCAGCTTGCTTCAGTGGGTAGATTTGACTAGAGGAACCATATGTCCATGTACACCCTGAAGTCCTAATATGACGATAATAAGCATCCTATTTCTCTTAAGAGTGTGACAGTTTATGTTATTATTTATGTTTGATATTATATTAAACTGGAATGTAGCAATTCTATGAATCACTGTTTACTAGCAATAACTACCTAGAAAAGAGAGCACTGTAAATATAAAAATGTTCAAGCATCTAGCATCTATATGTTGAATGAGAAGAAATTTTTTTTTCAAAACTTTTGGGGAATAAGCAAATATAAACCATCATAATAAAAAATATAGCATTACCCCCACATTTCACTTACCAAGTATGATACATACACAAGAATTGAAGCATTGCACTAAGTTTGATGAAGGATGGAAATAATCTCCATAATTCCATAATAGGATTGATTATATCTTTCCTATTATGCATGTACATAAATTTCCTTGAAATCAATAGCTAACCATTTCACCATAAAATAAAATAACTAGATTTATTAATGAAAGTAAGAATTTTCACTATAATGAATTAAGTAGTCTGTAGAAATAAGACATCCAATCTCAAACAGCCTCCTCACTTATTCATAAATACGAGCAGAAATTTTCAGTGAAGTGATAAATCTTCACCTCTGCATAAAATTAAGTTAGTTACTTGATGATGTGTTTAGGGCTTTGACTTAGAAAACTGAGAGGTGGATTTAAAGAAAAAAGTACACAGAGGTATTAAATACATATTTATTTCATTGAGTAAAGGTAATTTCCCCCCAAATAAAAGGAATAAACATTTTTAAAGTTTAAATATAATTGGAGTTGGCAGATAAAATGTAATGAATACAGTTAATGTGAATTTCAGATAAAAGTATGTGTATATAGACACACACACACTCAAACATACACACACAGCAGATAAAAGTATGTGTATATGCTCTCACCCTGTAAAAAATTTAGAGTGCAATAATATAATATTTGGACACATATGGCATATATGTGCTTTCTGCAGTATTTTGGTATGTATAAATCCCAAATACTATATGGGGTTTACTTAATTAATATATAATAATATATAATAGTATTGTGTATGTTATCATCTCACATTTACACATAATTGAATATCCTGCTTTTTAATTTTCATTTGATGGATCTAATAATCTGAAATGGTATTTGAATGGACTTCTTTAATTAGTACAATGTAAAGAACCGTGTATAGACTGTAGTGTACTCTATTGTGCCTGAAGACAGTGTATTCAAAGTTCAAGTGAGATAATCCTCTCTATTTGGTGTGAATTTAATATCTCAAACAGAAAGATTTAAAATGCTGAGAATTGGCCAAAGCAAAGTGCCCAAGGTTCATTTCTATTACTTTATCCGGTGACTGCAACATCACTGGTAATTTTAACCCACCATATTTATTGAGAATTATCCTAAACCACTGTCCAACAGGTCACTTAACTCCTTATTCTATATGTTTGAAAAAAAAGAGTAGAACACTGTTCTGGAAATATCATTGCTTCTAGTGTGAGAAGTCACAGAGTGCTAGCCCTTTCACCTAACCTCTATGGGAACAATTCTTTCCATCTTAATACACTTTTCTGCATCCAGTTTCTTCATTGTTTAATTGAGTAAAGCCAAAGTTGAGGATTAAATAAATAAGGCATGTGAAGAACATTCACAAACTAAAAAAGATACAATATAAACATATAAAATATATGAAAATAAAATTTATATTGTGTCCAAATAAAGTAACATTCTTTTGCAACTTGATAGGGTAAATGCATTTTTATTGTCTGATACGATAAAAGGTACTGAACAAGGGAGATCAGCCTTATACAATATTATTTCTTTACTCTTTAGCAAGACATCAAATATTAAAGCGTAAAAGTAGAGGCCCCTTCTTTGAATTTTAAAGGAACTTAATACATCCTGTCTTTGGTGTCTTCACCTAAAATGATTAAGTATCTATTGATAGACACACACATTATGTTATTTTTTTCATTCAAAATTCAATTATTTTTCCACCATTTGTTTCTGTCACATTAGACAGGGAATAGTTTTTCAGTAGTCTGATTCAAGAAACCTGAGTTCCTAAGCCTGATGAAATAAGATCTGCAATTCACAACGTTCCATGGGGATGATCATTTTGTTACATTCTTAGGGCATTAAAATACCTTGAAGTGTTAACACATTCAGGATGCACAGGTGAATGCTGTGATGCAGTGCCAGCCGAGTGCTAGAGTGTGGTGACAGGGATAGTAATTTGCTGATGTCAGATCTCCACGAATTTTCCTTTTCCCTAACTGTTTATCCTTTTCCCATTCTTCTTCAGCAATTGTAGTACTTTTTATCACCTTGAGGCGCAGCAAAAAAGAGCCATTGATCATTTCAGAAGAGGATGTGCGAGAGAATGTGGTGACCTACGATGATGAGGGAGGTGGGGAGGAAGACACTGAGGCCTTTGACATCACTGCATTGAGGAACCCTTCTGCAGCTGAGGAGCTCAAGTACCGGAGGGACATCCGACCTGAAGTGAAGCTCCCTCCCAGGCACCAGACACTGTCCACCCTGGAAAGTATAGATGTTCAGGAGTTCATAAAGCAAAGACTGGCAGAAGCAGACCTAGATCCCAGTGTTCCTCCATATGATTCTCTTCAGACTTATGCCTATGAGGGTCAGAGATCAGAAGCTGGATCTATCAGCTCACTGGATTCAGCAACGACACAATCAGACCAGGATTATCAGTACCTTGGAGACTGGGGGCCTGAGTTTAAAAAGTTAGCTGAACTCTATGGAGAAATAGATTCTGAAAGAACAACTTAGGGGGCCAATTCTTAAAACCTTGTGGAATCTGCTTCCTCAGCAAGTGGAGACATAACCTCAGCAATGACAAAGCATAACCATGGAGACAGTACTTGAACTGAGCAAGCTGTACACAGCTCCTGTAGAAACAAGTGCCCTTTCTACAATCCAAACTGGGTTATTTAATCGGAAGAAAGCAAACTATAAAAGAAAAATGCAGAGAAAAATCTGCTGTCCTTGTGTATATTTTCAATTGCTCAATAAAGTCTGTGGTACTGTTTAATTAAGAATACCTGAAAAAAAAAGCCAAACACGAATATTTGTTTCAATATTTTGTGATTTCTTTTTTCCTAAAGCAAAACTAAACAAAGGGGCTCAAAATCACTGACAACTATGACTTTTAGGGGTGGTGCACTGCAAAAGGAAACTCATGAAGGTAATCATGACCTCTTTTTCCACTTTTTTGAGTGGAGTCTCGAGAGCCACACACTGTTGTGACAGATCCCATTAGCCTTGTCTTGTGTTTAAATTGCATACGGTGTTCCCCCTCTACCAGACCATTCTGTCATGGACTTGTACCATTTCCCTCTGCCCTCCCCACTTCTTTTCTCCATACAAAATTGATGGAGCATGGGGATTTGCTGCCTGCACTATAAAGTATGCAACTTCGGTGTACCAGACATGCACCGTACTGAGCAGGAGACAATAGTCTCTGTCTCGTCTGCCCTCCTTTATTTTAACAGGAGATCCTCCTCCCCCCACTTTTTTTTAAATAAATAGAACGAATGGTTGAAGGTATACTCTGAAAATCTGATATGTCAGGGAATGATTTATTTTATAAATAGATACAAACCTTATCCTTTACAAAATGTTGAGGAACTTTTTATTTTTTTTCCCTTTGTTTTAGAAAACTGAAATCGGCCAAAATTTTTGCTTCAGTCTTAATTCATTTTCCATTGTCATCGTAGACAGTCATCAAAAATATGTACCTCACATGTTATCATAGTCTAAAAGGACTATCCTTCAAGTAGCATAAACATAGACTCATGGTTGACTTATTCTTTACACGGGTTCAGACTTTCTCAGTCTCACAACTTATTAGTCCTTACATGTTTGATGTCTACAGAGGAATATATAGGACTGGGCACAAAAAGTAGGAGTTTCACACTTATTATCTTTGGACACATGCCTGAATGTCTCTGAAATTCAGGGTCCAAAAGTGCAAGATAGAAATGGACTGACTTCCCTGCCTACCTCACAGGGCTGTTGTGAGGATCATATAAGCATCTGTAAAACTGCTTTACCCACTGCAAAGGATTCTGCTCCATACATGTTTGCAGACACTAATTTTCTAATTCCATTAACTTATAAATATATATTTACATACATTTTACATAAAATATTATATGATCATGGAAGAATGTCACGAAATCATCAACAGTGTTGTTACTGTTTAAATATGTAATGCATAAGTCTATTTATTTTAATATTTTCCTAAACAATCTAATTTTCTTACTATTTCTTGGGGATTTTTATTTTTCAAATTGTTTTGGGTAATGTTTTGTTGTTGTGTGTTGCTCTTGATCTCAAAGTAAATATTCTTAGCATAAAAAGTCCGATTTTCCTAAGTAATCCCATCTGTATATTCAGTTAAACTAGAATTTCTAAATTCATGAAATGCAAATTATTTGATGGGAAAATTTTTCTTTGCGCTTTAATTTTTTTTTTCATGATCTAGTATTTCCGAAAGTCACATGATATTTTGTGTAATTCTACCCATGTGCAAAATTTTGGATTTTGCCTCATGTCACAGCTGCCCTGTGCTATCATATTTCATTTTTGAGGTATGGGAAGAAAGTAAATTTAATTTGAATAATTCTCAATTTGTGTTTTAAGCCTGAGGAATAAAATGTAATTTAAGGTTTTTACAACATTTTAACTTTCCAGATGCTGCTTTATCATTTTTTTACATCATAATGGTGTGTGTTCTGGTGTAGAGCTGAATCCAAAGAGACGTGAGGGCCTCCGGGAAGAGCCTATGGACACACAGGCTCTGATTATGCTAACGCTGGACTACTTTAGTCCAGAAAGGATAGAAAACCTCAGAGATCGACTATGACCCTGATGTCTTGACTTTCCCATTCCAAAAGGAGGAGAAACATCAGGATTCTGAAGTTTATCAGGCGTTTGAATTTAGATTTTGATGAAATATCCGTGGCTTCTTATTTTTTCAAATATTTACCTCGTAACTTCACTGATGAGGTTTTGAAAGATAAAAAATGTGTATTTCCTTTTAACCATTTACATAAAAGTCAAAGTTCTCTGACTGGTTCTCGGTACTCAAATATTTCCCTGATTTTGAAGTATCAAGCACACTAGTAGAATTTGTTTTTTAATTACACATTATAGTGATGACCCATAATCTAAGCCTCTGATCTTGAATCCAAATATAAAGTCAAAATGGATCATCTGTAGTTTGGAAATATATTTTCATTTTTATATGTTTTAAAATTCTATTAATGATAACATTCCAAGTACTGTTTTGTATATGGACTTGGAAACTAGGCAAGTATATTCTTATCAGTTGAGATTGGGTCTCATTTTTTTTCTTCTATTATTCTAAATAAAGAAAATAGTGATGACATTTAAAAGTTCTATAAATTGAGCATAATTATTATTTAAAAATAGATACATTACTATAAAATCTCCAGTTGATCAGTTACAGAATAAAGTTCTCAAAGAGTTTTGAGGGTCAAGTCTATACATCAACTCTGAGCTTTGGCCACAAAGAATCATCCATGAACTCAAATGTGAATAATGTCACTTCACATTTCTGAAGATTCAGTTAATATTTATAGACATAAATTTTAAAAATACATTAAATTAATTAATTCTTTTATTAATACAGCAATTTTCAGACAGATTCTTTACAAATGGTGACTGATAAATTAAAGATTATAATATGATAATGTTTTTATCTAGGGTATTTCTTAGCAGTATTTATTAACTTCAAATACTTTGTGCAAACACCAAGAAATTAAAAGGATTTACAGAAATAACTAAAGACCTATTGTCAGAAATTATTTCTATGACAAAGCTGCACAAACACAGATTTGAAGAAGAGTTACAAGAAGAAATTATAACCAAAGTGGAGCTTTACACAGAGGTAAAGTGTGACTTTTCTATCATATGGTGCAAGCAGGGGGCTATTCTGAAAGAAATTGCATTCACTTAACCATATGGGTACACACACATACAAATATGTCTTCCTGAAGAATGTTTGGGAGAATAAAGTAATATTCAAGACAGAGATGTGATCCAAATATTTGAAACATATAAAATCGTAGTGGAAGATTTACCATAAACAGGTGACTCAAATGAAATTTTTGGCTTTTATCCAGCCTAGTGTTTAACTTCCAATGATGTCAGTATGGAGCTAATTTGTAGATATGGGAACACAAAGAGCAGGAAAAAAAATGAAATAGGGTACAGCATATTTTCTGAGATGATAAAAGCACACACAGTACCTGTTGTAAACACTAAAAAGTGTTTTAACTTTGATCCTTAGGATCCTACAGTTTAGGAAGAAATCTGCATAGAAACAGGAAAATGTATTGGGATCACCATTCTCAGTAATGAAGAATGTTTAATACACAATTAGTCATTGTTCTGTTTGCTCTCACATGTTTTTACCCATAAGTTTGATTTGGTGTCTCCTTTCTGGTTTAGTTGAATGTAGGGAAAATAAGCAAAATTTCAAAGAGACTCATTTCAGAGACACCAAAAAAGTTCCAGTTACCTAAGTTTGATAATAAAACATTCTTAAATGCAATACTTTTGGGGAAAGTCATTATCGTTTAGCGTTGAAATAGCTTGATCAGTTACTTCACAATTTGGAACTCTAGAGCTGGTTATTTGGGTAAAGGGAAGAATCTCAAGTTTCAAATTCAATTTGTGCTTAGCTTCTAGGTATGTTATTCAATTGAATTACTTGACTTTCAATTTTAAGAATTAAAAAAATAAGTCAGACCATGTATCTTGGGAAATATATAACTGATATTCAATCCTCTCTCTCTTTCTCTCTCTCTCTCTCCCTTTTACCCTTTATGACTAAAAAAATTAAAGATTAAAAAATTAAATATTATGCAAAGGAAATAAGACCACTTTAACATTTATTTTTTTATATCATCTGCAGAAGTTAATCTTAGAAACCCTGCAGCCAAACAAATTTTACAACCATTTGAAGATGACTAGCACAGAACCCAATCACTTTTTTAGTTTCAAAATACATAATTTTAAAATGAAAATATTAAATTTAATGATTTTTAACATATCAAAGACATTTTACTATTTTGGCTTATGGCAATGAAAGATGTAGTGAGGGCTTCATTTTTTTTCAATAAAAAAAACCAGAAAAATAAAAGACTTTTTTCTTTGTAGATGATGAAAACAAAAGGAAAAAGTTCTTACTGTAGGGAAGAATGGTTACATTCATCCACTTTGCTGTGTTTATGGAATTGAAAAATTTTTGCTCTGAAACACTGCAGAGATATCAAAATTATTTTATTGATGATTAATTTTAAATTTTGAGGTGAAAGTTAATGGAGAAACAGTACATTCAAAAGTTCTTGAAATTAGATCCTCTGAGGAAGGCAAGGTGCCATTTATACATTGCATTTCATCAGATGGTTCAGTCTCATTGTCCAGCAATACTAGAAGTAAAAAAAAAAAAAAAAAAAGATCATTATAGTTAGTGTCACCCTAATAATTTCATCAAGGCACTTTTTCTTATTTCAAAAAAACATCAAATTGTTGTTCTAAATCATCTATTGATCTTTTCAAAATGCCACTTCAAATATCTTAGTTCCAAAGAGAAATATTTATTGAGTTAGATGCACTATATGTAATGCCTATATTTTTAATATAATATGTATATATTTTAATATAATATGTATTAAATATAACATATATAATGTGTTTAATATAATATGCATATATTTTTAATATAATATGTGTTAAAAAAGATGACAACAAAGAAGAAAATGACAGTATTCAGGAATTGAAAGAGATCTTTAAAAATATATATTCTGTTGACACTTATTATCATGGATCTAATTAAATTCTAGTCTAATTGATTACATATAAATAATGAGGATCTAATTACATTTAGAGAATCGAGAACTGCATACAAAAATACAAACTCTTTGTATGTATGGGCAATGAAATATAAGACCAAGTAGCAAGTGTTAATAGAGGCTCAGAAAGGATGCCCTGAAAGGTCATAGCAAAACAATAAAATTGTTCTAATAAGGTGCAGCACTGAAAGTGTTCTTTTAATTCAGGGGGAACAGCACGTGGTTAGAGGGAGGCAGAGTGAGATAGGAGCCGAGAATAGCTAGAGCAAATGTGGAAAGATAAATGATTCTGTAAGGACTAGAGGATTCATGCAGAGAAATAATGACAATGCAAGATGGTAAGAGAAGGTGAATATAAACTCTAAGTGATTGAATGAAATTCATTATTTAGCCAAGGTAATTGTACTTATTTTACCCCAAACAAGAAATTCATAAGGACTAGAACCCTTTTTCAGGAAACTGCATCTTTCATTTTCACCTACCAGCCAAAAAAGAGGTATTTAGAAAAAATCCTCAAATTATGTGTACCTACAGAGAAAATGGAAGACAACATTATTTCTTTTCAGAAAATAAAACTTGGGCCTAAACTACAAGAAGTTTTTAACCAGTCACATTTAACATATATTTCAGGTTTTGATTATTGGACCCTCATCAGTGTATATATATATATATTCATCTCAGTAAAAATAAAATGAGGACAATAAAAAGTTGTATTTTTAAGAACAAATTTGGCTAACATATATTTTTAATATAAAAAATATATATATATCTTTTTAGTTGTAGATGGACACAACATCTTTATTTTATTTTTATGTGGTGCTGAGGACCAAACCCAGTGCCCCATGTGTGCTAGGCCAGCATTCTACCACTAAGCCACAACCCCACCCCATTTTTAGAGGACAGTTGTGTTTCCATTCTGTAGTCATTGTTTTAGGCAGGAAAATATTTTGAACTAAAAAAATTCAAAACCCAAAGACCAAATCACTTCCCTATTACAACTACAATTTTTATTCTTTAATGAATTATTCTTAATATTTAGCAACACAGAATTTCACATATTGTAGTGTTATTTCAATATTTTTTTACACTGAGATACATTTTCAAAATGTGACCACCCTACAGCATGATATTTCAGTGATTTTTTAGTATGACAGGTAGACAGCCTGAGAGTTCTACTTCCTTATTTTCCATTTCTCACTTGCTCTTTTTGCGCATTTACTTGCCTATTTTTAACAACCCTGAAAAGCTGTGTTTGAGCAATTTCCTCATTCCATGTGTTTTTCAGAACAAATACAAGAAAATGTTTCAGAATTAGAGTGATAATTTTTTTCAGGTTTTTTATTTCAGTGGATTTTTTCCACTCTGTCACTAATCATGCTTTTCCCCTTACCAAAAAATAATAATAATAAAATTGCATTCAGAAGAGTCCTCTGTGTCAGTCACCTTCCAGTTAGCGGAGGCTTCCTTTCTATGAGGCAGTTTGGTTTTCTAGCTCTTACAACACTATTTCCAGTTTTGTAGAAGCCATGTTATTTCATTCTTCCAAAGATAGCTTAGGGTATATTTTATTTTTGTGTAAAATTTACTTCAAATATTTCAATTGGCTTTGATGATTCATTCCATGAGCCATTGAAATCATAACTTAGAAGATGATTTCAGCCATTGCAATTTTACTATATACAGAGCGCTTTCAATAACATGTTTTAAAAGTTTAATCTATAATTATAATTTTCAAAAAAGTATAATTTTATTTCTATCCTTACTTAAAAGGAAGTTTAGAATTTTTCTTTTCCAGAATGAGAGCTAACA